TAAGGCCTCCTTTTTAAAAACCCTTTTTGGGCAGGAGTATGACGCTGGAAACCAGTTTGAAAGTCATCTGCAGGAACTGGTTCTGCAGATGCTGTTGGCTGAGTTGGTGAGCTACAGTAGAGTGGAATGCTGATTCGCTAAAGGGAGTGAGGCAATGTGATAAGGCCTCCTATTTAAAAACCCTTTTTGGTAGGAAGTATTGTTAGCAAAATCTTCTTTAAATTGTTAAACACTGTGACACTGATATGCCATGGTTACCCACGGTGGACAGTGTTTGGTGGAGCTTCCTGATTGAAATAAGCTTGGAAGCAGGAGTGGCATCCACTTCTGAAATGGCTTTCCTCTGGAAACTCTATGAACATGGAGAAATGACCAAAGTTAAGCAAGTGTTCAGGTCTTTTGTTCATAGGGTCGCTATGAGTCATGTATGATTAAAAGGCACTTAATAGCAACATTTATAATTGAATAGGAAATCAACTTGCTGTGTTAACTTCAACTCAAATAAAAATTGTAAAAATTTAAAAGAACATAATATTCAAGGAAGTAAAAAAAAATCTTTTACTATTTCCCTGAGAAACACTCACTAATATCTTTATAAGTTCAGCTATTTCCCCTATTTCTTTCTTCCTAATCATCTATTTATTATTTTTTTCTTATTCTTCCATTGCTTATGGAAATCTACCTCACAGCCTGCATATATTTAGTTTTGCTGTTTCTTCATTTGATGAACCATTAATGATGACAACAGAAGGCTTATGTTCTTAATACTTGACCCGACGGATAGCATGGCATAACAATGTAAATTTATATAGGGTGATTGAGAGATCTGTTGAAAGTTTGTGATTAATGTTGTGGCATAGTTAAGCATGAATAAATCATGAGGATAATAAAATGATGGCAGGATAGTACTATTACCTAGCTGTGGTTGAAGAACATATTCAACTCTTTCAGTTAGGAGATGTGAAATGATACTACGTGCCTAGGAAGTATAAGTTATTTCAGTTGCTGTTAAATTTATTTTTTTGAAGTTAATTGACAACTGCATACCAAAGAATGCATTTAGAATTTTATTTTATGAAGAAATAAATGTTGTTCTATAACTCACAGAGACTAGAAATCACAGTACACATTCAGCATATTCATTATGAATTAACAGAAAAAATATAAACAATACAAGAAACTTCTGTAGTCTTCTTTTTTGCTCAATATTCTTGTATGTTCAAAAAAATCTGTCCAGAAATGCTGGTAGTGTGAAGTTATATGATAGATAAGACAGCTGCATAGAAGATAATTTTTTAAGCCTAAAAGAAAAAACTAAGAATGAATAAAAAGGATAATACTTTATTATTTATACAACAGATATTCCAAGGTATGAAGGTGGCTTGTATATATATCTGAAATACCTTTATCTATTTTACTCTGGCAGGATAAATGTTGTTAGTATTATATCTATTATTGGATAATGCTTTCTGATATTTTAATATTTAATACTTTAATATCTTAGTAAAGTATTTTATTATAACACTTGATACATAACAGGCTTCTTATAAGTATTTATTAGACAAATTCATAAGTGAGTGAAAGATTTCTCAATACATTATATAAAAATGATAGTGATTTATTAATAATTTACTAGGTCTTTATATTTTAAGTATCATTTAAGGTGCATTTATTTTATATCTTATATGCAAGACTGCTTCAAGGCATATGAAATTTATTATTATATTTAAAACAATTGATGTAACTGGAAGCTAGATTTTTGCATAAGAGTTTTATTAAATAAAAACAGCTTTTTTATTTTATTTTTTTAAATTAAATCTAAATTCTTTAAAGTTAATTACTGATTTGGAATTTTTCCCTGCCTTTTGTTTGCTTAGTTTACTTTCATCATCCAAAGAATTTATCTCTGATGCATCATTTTAATTTCTTCATTTTAAAACTTATTTATTCTGCTTCTGCATTTATTCCATGATACCGTGGTTTTGGTTGATACATATCCTAATAAAGAGAAGTCTGGTAACTCATTTCTATAACACTCAAGTTATTCACATTATGTGATACACATTAAACTTCCAAAGACGTGAAGTGAATATATAAACAATGTCAGCAAAACTCTTTATAACATGTTGCTGTTGTTATGTTGAGGCAGCTCCGACTCATGACTCATAGCAGTCGTGGATGCAAGCAATAGAAGGAAACTTGCTACATTCTGTGCCATTCTCACTATCTCTGCATTTAATTCCATTCTTGCAGTCAATGTGGATCTCACTGAGGATTTTCCCCTTTGTAGACCCTCTACTTTTCCAAGTATAGTGTCTTTTTCCTGATAATATGCACAACGTAGGTGAGAAGCTCTCATTATCCTTGCTTCTAAGGATCACTCTGGCTGCACTTCTTCAAAGACAAATCTACTTGGGTTGTTTTCTTTCTCTCTCTCTCTTTCTTTCTTTCTCAGCCTATTCAATATTCACCAACATTATAGTTAACAGTCACTAATTCTTCCTTATTCACTTCCCAACTTTCATATGCAAATAAAACAATTGAAAATTCCATGGTTTGGGTCATAAAATAACATTTTTGAGCTTTTTCTCCATAATAGTACTATTAGTTTTCTCATGTAGAAATTTTTTTTAATTATTTATTGCCGTCAAGAAGATCAAAATGAGAAAGAGAATCAAAATTGCAGTGGAATAATGTGTCTAATGCTGAGAAAAATTATATATTCCAAGGATCCGCAAACTTCTCTAAGGTGCAATTTGACATCTATGGTGGAACTTCTAAATTTGATTCTTATCTTTTTACTTTTCAAGATGAACACGTGCAATTTATTTCATCTCTCTTAGCTTTATCTTTTTCAGCTTAAAATGGTTAGTAATATTAACTCCATTCTTACACACTTTGTAAGTACAACATGGATCAACATAGACAAAGGAGTTGAGTCTGCGAAGAGTATATTGTAATCTCTAAACAGGAACATTGTAAAGCTTAAAAAAAATCTTAGCTGTTTTAAATATTCTGAAATCTACTACATTCTTTGTCAAACATATATTAAGAATATAAAATGGAAAGGAGAATAATAACAGAGCAGATAACCTAAGTGCACTAATGGTATAATAAGAAAATTAAAAAGTTAGTACACAGAGAGCACCCTGCTATGTTATTGTTTCTTTGGATCTTCAGGATCATTCTAAATCGAAGTGTCAAAAAAAATCGACAACAAAAATTAAAGTAGATTTTGTGGAATTTTTTTCTTAGAAAAATGATTGTTTTTATAGTGAAAACTACCTTTAAAAAGGTTTGACATTGTATATGAAACTCTCTTCCCATTATTTATAAACACTACTACTGAACTCCTTTAGGTCCTAAATGAAAGAAAAATGTCTAGATAAGAAAAAGAAAACAGTCTGTGATGGTTATGAGTGTATCTATTCTAAAACCATTTCCTTTGATTGACGATATGGTTAGGTACAGAGGCAATTATTTGCCATTTAAGTATTGTTATCAAAGTCTTCTTTAAAGTGCTAAAGAGCAGAGATATCAGTTTAGAGACTAAGATGTGGCTTACCTAAGCCAGGGTATTTTCATTTGTGACATATGCATATGAAATTTATACACTGACTAAGGAAAACTGAGAATAATTGATACATTTGAATTATGATGAATATTGAATTTTGATGAATATTGAATATGCCATGGATTGCCAAAAGGACAAAGAAAACTATCCTGGAGGAAATACAGTCAGAATATTTTTGAAGAAATACAGCCAAAACGTTTTTAGAGGCGAGGATGTTGATTGAAATTTTGTGTCTCATACTTGAGAATTATGTCGGTATGGGTCTATACTTGAAAAGGGACATCATTCGTGGAAAGGTGGAAGATCAGAGAACCCTCAATGAGATGGATTGACATAGGGACTCAAGCAATGTGCATAAGAACAGCAGGAATTGTTGGGAAGACACAGAATCAGGCCAGATTTCCAGGTACATAGAGTTTCTATGAGTTGAAATAGTTTTGCCATCACCCAATAACAACAACAACACATATATGTAAATTACAGATGACATGCACTTTTGTGTCAAAAAAAATATGAACAAGATTTATACTATTACATAAGCAAAAAATATGACTTATTTAATGAAATAAACTTGAAGTCACACTATTTAACCTTATTCTTTGAAAATTGTACTCTTCAAATGAAATTTTTCTAAGTCTGAAGGCACTTACCAAAAGCAAATAGAAGCAGACAATTTAAAGATGATAGATGTACTTCTTTAAAAGAGAAAGAAATGACATAATTAACTAAAGAGGAATGTTTATAGTAACAAGTGAAATATTATGTTTAAATTTCAATGGAATGCTTAGAATATTCTAAGGCATCACATACACAGATAGTGTATCATTTTACTTGTAATGATATCCATAAATGGTGCAAAAGTATATATTTTAACAAGTATTTAAAAAAGTAAAGTGACTAATGTTGTAAGTTTATGTTAAGTCCTCTGATTAAAACTCTCAGATATAATATAAAATTGTCAATTTTATACGTTCTATCTTCTGATCTGTAATTTATTTCTCATGTTGGAAAAATAGTATTTCCCAAGTCTAAATACTTTTTTTTCTTTCAGAATGAGACAAAGTAGATATTATCTTCACTTAGTAATTTCCCTTTAAAAACCCCCATATAGTTTATAATACAAATTTTCTCTATGTTTAAGAATTTCTATAAAAATTAAGTGAAATATAGGCAAATACTTGGGAAATTTTAGTCCAGTATAAATTCCAGTAATAATAGTTGTTTACTGTAATAAATTATAGCTTAGCTCAATTTATTGTAGTATTTTCATGATACAATTTAAAATTTAATTTCAACCCTAAAAATTCTTATTTAAATATGTTTTAGTTCTTACATAAGAACTCTTTCAAATTTTACTTGGCCATTTCTTTAATTTCTTTCATGGGAATTGTTCTTTCAGCGTAAATAATACAACAGGACAACTCACCAGAGGGCTGACAGTTGGATAAGCATTTGTCTTCACATAATTCCATGGTTTTATGACTATCTGATATGGATAAAAACCCATGGGGTATAGAGATGTGAAGAACTTCTGATAATGTTGGTCAACTTTGTACTAGAGGGGAAAAATACATATATTTATATACATATTTAATGTCAGAGGAAATAAGAATATAATTGTCAAATAAATAAAACATTTATTTATCTACATGCTAAAGGATACAAATGTATCTGATAAAAACAATGTTTATTTCTGAGAATAAACCTAACTTAGTGTCTACAATTTTAGCATAAACTGCAGACTTCAGAAAATTGTCCAATTATTAAAATTCTTAGTCTAAAATTCCTTTCTTTTAAATTAAAGAAGATAAAAGAGAAATAAAAGGATGGTATATAATTTTTTTGATTTATGAAAAAGGTCTCTTCTAATGCAAAACCTATACTTGGACCAGGAGGCAGTCATCAGAACAGAGCAAGGGAACACTGCATGGTTCAAAATTGGGAAGGGCGTACGCCACGGATGCATCCTATCTACATACCTTTTCAACCTATATGCAGAACAGATTATCTGGGAGGCTGGGCTCTATGAGGAGAAATGTGGGGTCAAGATTGGTGGACAATTTATCAACAATCTGCATTATGCAGATGACACAACCCTGCTTGCTGAAACTGAAGAGGACCTGAAGCACCAGCTGCAGAGGGTCAAGGACTGCAGCCTACAATATGGATTGAGGCTCATTGTCAAGAAGACAAAGATTCTCACCACTGGACCAATTGGCAGCATCAGGATGGATGGTGAAGAGATTGAGATTGTACACAGCTTTAGTTTCTTGGCTCCACAGTCCAGTCTTGGCACCAGCAGCCAGGAAATTAAAAGGCACATTGCCATGGGAAAGTTAGGGACCTCTCCAAAGTACTGAAGAGCAATGGTGTCTCTTTGGAGACTAAGGTGCATCTTATACAGGCTATGGTCTTTGCAATCACTTGTTATGCATCAGAGAGTTGGACAATGACCAAGGAGGATAGAAGGAGAATTGATGCCTTTGAGCTGTGGTGCTGGAGAAGAGTATTGAGAATACCGTGGACTGCTAGGAAAACAAACAGAATTGTCCTGGAGAGGGTTAAACCGGGCGGCTCCTTGGAGGCAAGGATTCTGAGGTTCTGTCTAACATACTTTGGACATGTTGTGAGGAGAGACCGGTCCTTGGAGAAGGACATCATGCTTGGGAGGGTGGAGGGACAGTGCAGGAGGGGAAGGCCCTCTATGAGGTGGATTGATTCAGCTACTGGAATAATCGGGATGGGAGTGTCAGAGACAGTGCGATTGGCACAGGACAGAGCAGAATTTAGGGCTGTTGTACATAGGGTCGTTATGAGTCGCAAACAACTCAACGGCACATAACAACAACAACAACAACATATATGATAGAAATTCTGAACCCACTTTTAAAGGTGAACTTTTTCCAATAAAATCTCGTTAAGAGTTCACTCAATAGAAGCTGGAATTGTTATTTGTTTTCAAGAACTATAGAACTGAGTTTAAATTCATATTTAGGAGATATCTATTTCTGTGGGAGAAAGATGAGCAATATCCCCTGTGCAAATTAGAGTGTTGGAAAATATGTTGGCAGGTCAGTTATGAGTGAGTCTGATTCAATAGCAGTAATTATTGAGTTGAGTGACTCTGAAACAGTTATTAAGTTTTCTGGATATCATATACCTTATAGAAATAAATTCATTAACATAAAGGGAGTCCATCCACAGTGCCTGTTGTAGATGACTAATAATATGTATCTCCTCTCTCTTCTCTCTTTAACTAGCTATATGGACTTTTCTATAGATTATTGTAGGTATTAAAATTGGAATTGCATAAATGACATATTTCTTTCAGATAATTTTCAGTTGTTACAAATGGATAGTCAAGGGGTTTTAGAATTATAAAAATTTGATGAGTATATTGTTGTTGTTACTGATTGCCATCGCATCAAGCTTGACTTATTGCGACCCTGTGAACAAAAGGCCTGAAGCCTTTTGATAACTAATATTGTGTATCCAAGTTCATAGAGTTTCCAGAGGCATGTTGTTTAGGAAGTTCATGCCACTCCTGCTATATAAAATTGGTAGTACGAAATAACCTTTGATGCTGAATTGGAAAAAGTAAACAAAGACTATTACAGCAATCACAATTTACTACTACCAGGAAGGTTTTCCATTGGAAGTACTGTCATTTGACAAGGCTTATGTAGAAGCCAGTCGTTTAATAAATGTTTGATGAGAACTTTTTGCTCTGGGTCAAATATTGATAATAATAGAAGTTTCTCTGATGTTGTTGCTTTTGTTATGTATCCTTCTGTCAAAGCAAACTCATAACTGATCCTGCAATGAATTTTTAGAGGCTGTAAACTGCATGTGAGGAGAGTACCCATCCTGCTCCCGTGAAGCAGCTGGGAGATCAAATAATGTACCTTTGGGTTGACAGTGCAATTCTTTACAACTAAACCATCAGAGGTTAGAATCATCAAGTCTGACTCCATAACCTATGAATATGCATATTGTATATGATCTTCTTAAAAGCATTTGTGCATATTTTCAACAAACTGCAAGTTAGAATATCTAAAAATTAAAGAGTAAGTTGCTTGACTTTTGAGTCTGTGTCTTAATACTCAGTTGTATATATCACCTTTTTTATATTAATTTTAGATATGGTCACTACTAGACTTTAATTTTGGAACATTAGGCCACATCATTCTACCAAAGAGAAGTCCAGTATAAAAAAAAAAAAAAAAACAACAGTAATCTGAGGTCTCCATTTGTGGCAATTAGGGCTCAAGTATCAAAATTGGAATTTGAATAGTACTATTTGGATACAGGTATGTCCACATACAGTGGGACAATGACTAGGGAGGATCCAAGGCGAATTGATGCCTTTGAGCTGTGGTGCTGGAGAAGAGTATTGAGGGTACCATGGACTGCTAAGAAAACAAACAGATTCATCCTGGAGAGGGTTAAAGCGGGCTACTCCTTAGAGACAAGGATTCTGAAACTTCATCTGACATACTTTAGTCATGTTGTAAGGAGAAACCGGTCCTTGGAGAAGGACATCACGCTTGACAGCACAGGAGGGGAAGACCCTCTATGATGTGGATTGATTCAGTGACTGGGGTAATCGGGGTGGGTGTGTCAGAGACAGTGAGATTGGCACAGAACAGAGCAGAGTTTAGGGCTGTTGTAGCTATGAGTCGCAAGAGACTCGACGGCAAATAATAACAACAAAACATTTGCACATATGACAAAATTTGAGGTTTCAAAATCCTGCAAAGTTAGTCAAGGAAATAATAAACATTAATAGTCTTAAAAAGACTGATACAACTCTCTTGCATGAATAACAGCAACAAAGTTGTTAATGTGCTGTCGAGTCACCTGTGACTCATAGCAACTGTATGTACAGCTTTGAAGCCTCCCCTGTCCTGAGCCAGTCTCACTGACTCCGACACACCTACATCCATTGGCCCAGTTACTGTATCAATCCATCTCATCCAGAGTCTTCCTCTCCAGTGCTCTCCCTCCGCCCTTCCAAGCATGATGTCCTTTTCCAAGAACTGGTCTCTCCTGACCACGTGCCCAAATTATGTTAGACGGAGCTTCAAAATCCTCGCCTCCAAGGAGAAACTTGGTTTCACCCTCTCAAAGACAGACTTATTTGTTTTCTTGGCAGTCCATGTTATGTTCAAGACTCTTCTTCAGCACCACAACTCAAAGACATTGAGTCTACTTGTCATCCTTGGTTATATTGTTATTTATTAATTTGGTAGTAAATATTTCTGGTGTTTAAATAAAAGAGTTGGAATGCAAGTGATAGGTAAAATGTGTTCCTCCACTTGAAATTTTTTTAAATTAATTTCAATGAACATTTACAGAGATTTTGGATTTCCATTCATTCATTGTTGCACTTTTCTCCCCGCCCACCACACCCCCAACCCCAGTTTGCTCTTCTCCTTAAAAGAAAAGATAAAACTCCTTCATAGCTATACAATCCCTCCACACCGCCCGCCCCCAAGTATACTCCACTCTGCAACCCTCATCCACTTGAAGTTTTAATATGTATAGGGAACTAACCTGTTGTTTCAGTTTTTTTTCATCTTCAACTGTCTCCATGTTCTGTCAAAAGCCAATCAGTTGTTATTCAGATGAAAACATTATGGTATATTAATTAATTAATCAATTAATTAATTTGAATGACAACTACTTACCTCAGAGATTTCTTCACTTGATTCCTTAGGGAAGGAAAATGAGAAAGTTTTACCTGGATGACTCACTTAAATTTTTGTCTCAAGTGGTACAATAGTGATACAAAGCTAAGTTCCTTTTATAATTGAGACATAACCTGTCACTACCAAGAAATAAAGCCCTGGTTTATTAAATATAAAATTTAGTAAGTATAAAATGGAGTTAAAATGTACATTCACAGAGTACAGGCTCTGTGATAAGACAATGGCGCATAACTGAAAGTGTTTTATGCTAGAGATTTCATTTGTCTATCTTGTTAATGTCTCATTTTCAAGAAGGGTGGGTTGTGTGTTGTAGCTGTGTACTGTCAAGATGAAACCAACCCATAGCTGGCCTTCTGGTGGGTTATCAGAAGCAATTAATTGAACGGGAGATTGCCATCCTTCCCTGATGAAGAAGCTGGTGGATTTGAACTGCATACCTTAAGGAATACAAATCACAGGTTCTTCCCACTAGGTCGCCTGTGATCCCCAATAATCATAGCAATATTTATTACTAAAGTTGTTGAAATGTGTGTCAAAGTCTGCATAGTCTTTCTGGAATTTGACTTACCTTTTTCAACTTTTTTTTTAAATAAATGGGATTGAGAGAAAGATAAAAGCATATTTCCTAAAACACTGAAAAAGAGGAACTTGGCCCAGGCCTCAAGACTATGGGCTACGATTTATATTTCACCTTTCTTCATACTATTCCAATTATGTTAAGTTACTGGTCATTTTTTGCACAGTAGGTATAACCACCCTGACCTTCTAAAACTCCTAACCTACTCTAAGTTCATAACAATATGTTAACTTCTCCAGAGTAAAGCTATGATGAAGGAAATTGACAGCATCCTTATCTGATATTTGTTTGTTGAAAAAGAGTATATTTTCAAAGCTAAACATTACGAAAAGCTCATTCATTAAATGGGAATGACTGTAGAGTTAATTCCACACCTTTAAAATGACATTGGGTCTTCATATATTTCCTGTGGCTTTAATAAAATTAACAATTTTCCCCCAAATATGAAAGCATAATATTCCCAATGAACTTCTTAGCTCTCTGATTTCTAAACAGTGCCACTTACCTCACTAGATGAGCTGCTAGCAGGTTCCTTGTGAAAGAAATAGAGATCATAAAATCAAACTCTGAAGCAGGCATAATGAAGCACTAACAGTATATATTTTTTTTCCTCCCAAACTTAATTTGTTATTTTTTATAGTATACATAGCACAATGTATATCATATCATTTTACATATAAAAAATTGACTATAATTTTTCAGGTCTGGCATTCTCACATCCTCTTTTTAAAAATTATTGCTCTCACATGAAATAAATTCCCTGCTCTCTAATCTTCCACTTTAGCCTTTTAAGTTCCTATTTTCAATGTGATCTTACATATATATAGTTCTTAAGAGAGTCTAATGCTCAAGGAAGACATTTTTAACTAAACAAAATAAACTAAGCTGTACAATTATTAGTTTTAAAGATGACTCCAGGAGATACTTTGGCATT